AATTTGATACCTGCAAAAGCAGGTATCAAATTTAGGCATGAATAGCTAAAGCACATTAACACACATGTAGATGCATTAAGGCGCATTAACACTGTGTATGAACTGACTTGGGACTAACTTTAGACCCACACCAGTCTGCGTACACGGTATTAATGTGCTTTAAAGTGCACATGTAGATGTGAGCCTAAATCACCTTAATGCACATTAAGCTAATGCACATTAAATGTAGGTGTGCCTAAATGCATGTGTAGACATGCCCATTGTTGAGGGCCCCATAGCAACTTACAAATGGCATAAAGCCTTTTGGTTGGTTAGTTGACTGGCATTTGTTTTCCTTAACAGAACCATGCAGAGCTATAAGCCTTTCGTTAAGGGACAAGCATACCTTTCATAGGCCCCAAGAGATCAATACAGAAATGAAAGATTGCCAAAATGTAAAGAAACCCTGGTTATGACACTTCTGTTAGCTGCAGTGGGAGCAAGGTGGTTCACATATCATACCACTCTTTCTCTGTCACTGTAGCTCTCCCAAAAAGAGTATTCTTCCAGTGGTTGGCTGAGCTAATTTGATGACAGAACAAGGAGCAATGGTCTCAAGTGGCAGCAAGGGAAGGTTAGGTATTAGGCAACACTTTTCATTAGGAGAGTAGTAAAGCACTGGAACATGTTACCCAGACAGGTTGTGGAATCTCCATGCTTGGAGGTTTTTAAGATCCAGCTAGACAAATCCTTGGCTGGGATCATATAGTTGGGGATGAACCTGCTTTAGCTCTGCTTTTAGTGTTGGACTAAATGACCTCCTTAAGTCCATTCCAACCCTAGTTTTCTATGATTCTTAAGATTTGCTTATTCAGATGTGTACAGGCAATTTTTTACCTTTCAGGAAAAGAAATACAGAACTTATATAGTGAATGCTATTTTAGAAAGCCACATTTGACAGTGGTCATCACTCTGTATCAGTGCTGCATCATTAACCCTCAAGATAACTCATGTGCCTATATAATGCTGCTTTATAATGAATAAAATATACTTTGTGGAAAGCATACCTAAATTAAGATGCGTTTCATCCTAATAAATGGCTCAAATATTTTGTTGTATATAATGATAAGGCTTATTGGAAATTTGTTAGCTAAGATCTCAGTGGTCTCCTTTCTAATAGAGATTCTGGGTGCATCTACATGAGATGCTATATTGCCATAGCAGTGAGCCACTGTGCCGTAGTTCATTGCTACGGTGACATAGTGTCGCTGGGCATGAACCTTGATGCCAATGCTACTGCTCAGTAGCAACTAAAATAACCATATGGCGACAGGGCTGCGCAGTAACGCCAGTTACTGTGCAGTCCATTGCACGTGTAGAAAGCCATCTGTGTCAGAATCTGATCTCATGCCACTTTCACAGGCCCCATGCCACAGTGAAGTTATTCTACATTTGTAGTGATGTATGAAAGATCATAATCCATCCATTTCAGATTTAGCACAAAAGTGAGGCATAAATCCTTGCCAGCTCAGTTGCATATTTGCTTTACAAACCTGGGAAGAGAAAGAGGAGGACAGATTTTTCTGGCCCTGAGTACATAAGGAGTAATTAAAAACTGACCTAAAGAAATAGAATGGAGAAAGAAATATTGTCTTTGTATACATCTGTTGAATTCATCTGTCATTCAGACAAAATTCCTAGACCTTTTCTTTACTAGAGCCTGCTTCTAATAGAGGTTATCCCACAGAAGTAGTTAGAGCTCTGTTAATAACAGTGATTAGGAAGCAGAAAATAGCTTCAAGGCTAGGACAGAAATTACACATAAACCAGTTTAAGTCACCAGAAACTGGTTTAAACCTGTAATGGAACAGAAGTTCAGTGCACAGTTAAAAAAATGGCAGAAACTGGTTGAAGATAAACTGGTTGAAGATAAACCTGGTTGAATGTAGTATCAGACTTAACTGACTTGGGTCAAACTGATTTATGAAACTTCTGCCCCAGACCCCTTCCTGGTTCAAGTTAAATCACAGTCTGCCAGCATCCCAGCATGCTTTTCAGCCTGGAGCTGGGCTGTACTGTTTGCTCCAGCAGAGAAGAGTTGAGTGGGGAGAGGCAGGGACTGCCTCCTGAGGCAAAACCTGGCTGGGGTGTAGGGCCATGGAGTGTGGTTAAACCCCTCTTCCCCTGAGTACAGAGCTTCCCTGCCCTGCTAAACTTATTGAAATTTAGTGCTGACTATGACTGTGGACTACAAATCCCAGAGGCACGTGGAAGCAGGAAGAGGATGTAATGAGCAACGCTGCAGAGTCCTGCTGGACTCCAAATCCCAGATATGTTGTGGGGCAGCAGGAAGAGGAAGCAAACACACAGCCCATGCTAGCTACATGCCAGAGAGCCATGCTCTAGCACCCCCTGGCTTCTGGCCTGCACAACTGCAAGCATGTGGCTGCATTTCCTGAACCAAAAGTGAATGTGTGTCCAGTTGTCTCTCAGTTTAATCTCTGCAGTTTAGACTAACATGCAAAGACTGAATTGATTCATCCTCAGGCTTTTTGACTGTCTATACTTAGCTGAATACATATATCTTTCTATCTCCTAAACTATTGATGAACAGTTATTAATTAACATAGTACTTCTGCAAGCTTTGCAAAAAAAAAATGTGCATACTAATTTTCAATAAACGAGAAACATTTTCTATAAAATGTTCAGTAATACCGCTCAGTGATTATGCTTTCATATTCAACTGGGGGAGGGAGATGAGGAGGGAGGGAGCTAATGCTAGTAAGTTGCTTATACGTTTTAAAAATCACACTTTGAATGTCTGGGACCTGAATCTAGACAAAGGTAATGGAATGAACTGTGGCATGTTAGACTACCCATCAATTTATGTGTAGTTTAGGATGATTCCCTTCATTTTTAATAGAAAAACTGACACAGTTTAAATTGCATCTTAAAAAAAAAGCCGTCCTCATCCACAGCAAAACTTTTTCCTCATATTTATTTCTGTTTAGAGATCCAAAACAATGTTTATAGAAGATGAAAAGAGTAGTCTCGATGTTTTGCTGAAACCTCCTAAGCATACTTAAAAATGGATATTTTATTTTTATATATCTTAAGAAAAATCTGAACCTAAAATTCTTTCTTGTTTTTAGACTCTGTTCTTTTTTATTTATGTATTTTTGTGAAACCAGGGGCCAGTTGGCAACAACATACTGATATCACCAAGACAGCATGAAGATGCAGCACTGATTACAGAAGCTAGGATTTTTAAGAATCAAAGGTAGCTAGATGCCCCTTTCCAATTGAAGTTTCAAAGTTTTTTGAACCATTGTGTAATTTTGTTTTCCAAAATTCAGTCTTCACTAAAGCAAAACTACCAGAGTTTTTCCTTTCACTCAGGTGTCTTGCTAGAGGACAGAGAAGGAGAGCTTTCTGTCCCTTAATAGGGAAGTACATAGGATACTTTGATATCTCTTCTTCCCTCCACTGACTAAGCTTTTGCCAATGAATTAATAACAAGAACTCCATATATCTTTTCCATTGCAATGGTGCCTTATTGCCCTCATTCTCAGACATTTCAACACACTCCCCATTCATTTCATGAGGATGTTCATTATTATTAGGTTCACTATTGCCAGGAAGGCAGAAGGCAGGGTAGGGTGGCACCCTAAAGACTAATGTATTCAGAAAGTCCTTAAGGTGCCACCTTGCCCTCCCGTCTGCTTCCCTTTAGACTTTCCCATGTTACCTTTTGACTAACATGGCTAGCTACTTCTTGTTACCATGAAGGTCACTTTTACCATAGTTGTGCATGATTGCCAACTTAAGCCAATGGGTCTAAAGGTAGATTTTCTCCTCTTGTGTTTAAAAATAACCATATCTCTCACTTTGTCTTGTTTTGTTCCGTTCTGCTACTCACTTTACTTAACTCACTCAGCTTTCAATTGATGCCGTTTAAAAAATCACATCACTCTTGGAGTTAGAGCTTGCCCTCCAACGTACATCCAGAATAGTCATTTTGTAGCTATCTACCTAAACAATGTCTGATTCACCACAATGCTACTCTTACATCTTTTAATTACACATGAATTATTTGCTATTATTAACACTCATTAATTACTTAACCTCAGAGATTATTTTGAAATAGAGTTTGTTTGCAAGAAATTATTACACCGTTTTTTGTGGACTTCCTTGGCTACCCTCAAATTTAATGAATGAACACACATTTTTTGTTCTCGGCAGTTTTTTAAATAAACCTTCATTGAAGTTTCCTGCATAATATATAAACAGCTAGTCAGAAAGATGAGCCTAAAATGAAAACATTCTTCAAAAAAACTTGATGATACTAATCCAGAAAGAAGGAAGGAAACAAAACTGAGCCATATTGATTTGTGCCTCATAAGAAATTAAGGAGGGAAAATATGAATGGAGGGATGCCAATGGAAAAGGCAGAACGAATTTGCAGTTAAACATTAGCATGCCACGATTATTAAACAGAATAATAAGTTGGCATTCATGTTGGAAAGACTTGTTTAAAAATATACGAAAATTTATGACAGAAATAATTGTCCTAAAGATGATGTTAAGTATTGCTTGTATTCACACTATCTGTAATTGTAGTTCACAGCTGTTAAAAGCTTTTCTAGCTCTAACACGTTAATGAAAATTGTATGAGATAATGTTGTTAATGTTGTTGGAGACAAGTTCTGAAATGATGCCCTATATTAACGCTTTTCAGTGTTTTCATCTTGAATGGCTCTAATGCCATTACCAAATTTAACATTTTATTGGTTGTCCACTATGATCCCTATCATTATCTGTTTACTGTGGTAAAGGGTAATTTAAGGTTTTGTCAAATGCCCTATACATCTGGTACCTGACATTTAGAAAGAGCTGTTGAAATGTAATGGCTTTTTAAAGTAACATTTATTTTAATTAATGTAAATGCTCACTGATTAACAAAATTATATGTATATTATCAAAATGGCTTACACGAGTATTTCTTGGTTTGTTTTCAATAGGGCAGAATACAGAACTATGATAGCAACTGGAGGAGTAATAACAGGCCTGGCTGCCTTAAAGAGGCAAGACTCTGCCAGATCTCAGCACCATTTAAATCTTGCCACATCACCAACTCCTGAAGAGAAAAAGCCAGTCAGACGCCGGCCCAGAGCTGATGTAGTAATTGTCAGAGGCAAAATCCGTCTTTATTCCCCATCTGGATTCTTTCTTGTTTTGGGAGTGCTTATCTCATTCATGGGAATTGCAATGGCCATCCTTGGATACTGGCCTCAAAAGGAAGAATTTTTAGGTCCTGATGCTACACTGTCAATAAATGAAACCCAAGTTGTACAAAACCAAGGTGGAGTTATACTTCGTTTCTTTGAACAGCATTTACACTCGGATAAAATGAAGATGTTGGGCCCCTTCACTATGGGCATTGGAATCTTTATTTTTATTTGTGCTAATGCTATTCTACATGAAAATCGTGACAAGGAAACAAAAATCATACACATGAGAGACATATATTCCACTGTAATAGACATCCACACTCTAAGAATAAAGGAACAAAAGCAACTAAATGGTGCCTTCACAGGCTTATTAGGAGAACGTGAATTCAAGCATAGTGGGAACACCTGTGCATCGTGTTTGGCTGCAAACACAATTGCACCTTTTTCTGGCTTTAGAAGGAGTAGTTTTCGAATAGATAGTTCTGCTGAGGAAGATGAAGTTGCCATACATGAAGACAAGAACATTACTAACCTTCTACCCCCTCTGTTAACTGAACGTTCTGGCTCAGTCTTTGGACTCTGCCCTCCCCCTAACAAGGCTATTGATGACAAAAATGCTAGCTCTATAAAGTGTGAAACAAAATCAATTGTATCATCCTCCATTAGTGCTTTTACACTTCCTGTAATTAAACTGAATAACTGTGTTATTGATGAACCTAGTATAGACAACATCACTGAGGACTCCGAGATCACTAGAAGCCGGTCTAGAAATTTGTCAATGGACTCTCTAGCCATTCCATTAACTGATACCAATGAATCCTACAAACGTGTCAGTGCAGCACTACCACGAAATAATTCATTTGTGGATTCTCCATCCAGTCAGTTCAAATCTTCTATGACTCTTGAACCAAGCACTGGAAAACTTTTATCGCCTGGTGCTGCCAGAAAACAGTTTGGGTCCAACACATCATTGCATCTTCTGTCTGCACATTCAAAATCCTTGGACTTAGACAGGGGTCCATCTACACTCACTGTCCAAGCTGAACAAAGAAAACATCCCAGCTGGCCCAGATTGGATCGCAGCAACAGTAAAGGATATATGAAACTAGAAAACAAAGAGGACCCAATGGATAGATTACTTGTACCTCAAGCTGCAGTCAAAAAAGACTTTACAAATAAAGAAAAACTTCTTATGATATCAAGATCTCATAATAATTTGAGCTTTGAACATGATGAGTTTTTGAGTAACAACCTAAAGCGGGGAACTTCTGAAACAAGATTTTAATATTTAAAATACAATTTACAAGATGTCATAAAGTATTTTTAGAACATTTTGAAAAGTGTTTCTTTTTCATTGAAAGTGGTACAAGCCTGTTTTTACCAAATGCTTATAGCACATTATAATTGGCTTATGTGAGCAGAGATCATCATCTTTGTAATGCCAACAATTCTATGTCTTGGTAACATGCAACTGCAATATTGTTCATTAACATCACTCAGAATATGTTGGTGCCACAGATTCCGTTTCCTCCAAGCAGTTACTCCTTTGAGTCTATATTAGCATGTTATCTTTCATCATTCATGAGTCAAGAAGCCTGCACCAGAACTATAGCTCCCATTTTGCTTGTATTTTCAGTTAATTTAATGTTTGCAACATTCTAACAATGGTACTTCCAGTTTAGGATGAAAAGTGAGTAGGAGTTGTACTGGAATTGCCAAAGTCAGGCCCGTGTTATAGATATTGTCTTTAATACATCTTGGTAACTACAAACCTATAATATTGTGAAAAGTTATTTTACTTGTTGGGGTGGGAGTGTAGAAGAAAATTGGACAGATTAAACATAATTTTTATGAACTCATTGTAAATGGTCAAGTTGAAAATGAGTGTTGTGAACTCTTAACTATGCTTTATGTGATAACCTTTCTACATCCGTAAAACCTAGTACTGTAATTCAAGGAAATCATATGCAGAACACAATGGCCATAGCTTAGAAATTTGCAGATTTTTATGAGATTAGTTACCAAAAGCATATCATGAGACAACAATTTTAGAAACAAAAATAGGGATTTAAATTAAAATATGAACATGATGAATGAAAGCAAAGTTTTAGAAATATGATGTAACGTATCTTGATGTGGCAAAAATACAAAGAATAAGTAAATATATATCATTTGTATTTACAGTACCCAAAACTTAAGATTGCTATATTTGAAAGTACAGAAACAGCTATAATGATATTAGTGTAAAAGCCCTACTAGCATAATTTTGACTTGAACACTTTGCATAGCTATAGTGTGATAGTTTAGCTGCAATAAGGTGCTTTGAAGGATTTGCAAATGAGGGGATGGCATTTAAAACACAAAGTATTCTGTGAGCAAAACAAGATTCAGTTTCAGTTATAGGTTATTGCTAAAGAAATTAATACATGAAAGCATGTACTAGACATTTTCATGTATTCCATTAATGTATTCCCTGCTATGGGAACCATACTGGATAACATTTATGCCCACTTCTTGGTTCACAAAGCAGGACTGGGGTGGTAATTGGTCATCTTTGATCTTTTCACTTAACCTAAATACTCAGGAATTACTTTAATGGCTTTTCCCAAAAAAGAATCAAACACATTAAGATGTTGTTGTACTTCAGTTGACCATGAAAGATGAAAGACAGAAATATTCTTTTCTAATTTTCAGATTCATATTTCAACAATGCAGTGTTTGTGTGTCAAGAGCATTCTTGCTCCGTGCATTGAGGCATAGTGTTACTTGTTAGAACCTCAAGCCTATATATTGTAACAGAGTTGGCTAAATATTTTGCTATGAAGCTTTTAATAACTTTCTGGTTCATGTTCTTAAGACATTTGCTATTTTTTGAAATAAAATAAAATGTATACTTATATGTCTGTGGTTAAATTGTTTCCCTTCAGGATCTTGAATTTTTCCACACCTCCAAAATCATTTACACTGCTACCACTATGTTAAACATATTGACCTTCCCCATGACTAACTGATTATGACTTTCATTGATTTCAGTAGCTTCCCCATGTACATATAACAGGGAAGAATTTAACAGAAAATTGAAAGGGGGCAAGGAGTAGATTTTGTCTATATCAAGGCCACTTATGAATCTACTTGATGATACATGAAAAAGCTACTATAGCTGTAAAAACTAAAAAGACTATCATTTTAAAGCAAGCAATGACTTTCAGTCTTTTCTGAATAGTTAATTTCATTCTTAGCCTAAATTACCTGCTTTTCAGAACCATATTACAAAAGTAGAAGAATGGTTAATGGTTTTTAATTTGGGTTTAGAGACCTCATGCTGAAAAATTACTCACATTAATGGTTAGTCACTGGAAGCCAAGGTAAACCAAGACTTAAGTTTTTTAAACGTTTTATCAAAAAGTTGGTTTC